ATATTTAAAAATGTGTGTCGACTATTGAAAATTGACAAAATACAGACAACAGCCTATCATGTTGAAAGTAACGGAGCGTTACGTACGCACCGAACATTGACAAGTACCTTCGCCATTATATAAACGCTGATCAAACAGCTTGGGACGAATGGATACCGTACGCGATTTTTTATCTTCAATACTACATCACATACGGCAACGGGATACATGCCATATGAATTAGTCTATGGGCACCAAGCTACCCTACCGTCCTAGCCAAAATCGTCGTATATATACCGGTTGTATGTATACCTACGACAATTACGCACAGGAACAAAAAGAACGGTTACGAACAACAGATCAAATCGCAAAAGAACATTTAAAAGAAGAAAAACAAAAAGCAAAGGAATACTACGATAAAAAACCGAAGGAAATAAAATTTAAAGTAGAGGACAAAGTATTGCTGTACGACGAAACATTACGTCGCGGAAGATCAAAAAAGCTAGGTTATGGACAAGTCCGTATATAACCATAGAAAAGAATTCTGATGTAAACTATACATTAAAAACTGGATATAAAAAATTGCGGACGCACATAAATCGATTAAAAGTATTTATAACAAATTAAGTCGAAAGTTAATGCAATTGATAAAATATTATCTTACAGAGTAATTATATGTGCTATCCAAGAATTACATGAGGAATTGGACACAGAGATGCCATAAGAAATAGAAAATTTCAATCATCATCCTGGAATATACTTCGAAAAAATAGGATATCTACATCAAATAGAATCATACTGGAAACTTGTCATCCGAGTAAATGTCATCTCAATGAAAAGTTTTTGAAAAAGTTAGAACAAATGCAAGGATGTGCATAAAACAAAGAATATGTGTCAACTTATCGCGTTTGCGAGTAAAGAAACGTGCCTTAACAAAATCATAGAAAAGGAGACAGATCAAATCATTTAATAACCAGAATAATATCTATGCATAATTTGGAAAAGAAAAAAAGAGGTTTAATTAATGCATTAAAGCTAGTATCATTTGGGTTAGAATAGGAAGACTCTTCAATAAATACAAAAATCACAAAAATGCTAGCACTTAGATTTTATTTTTTAGTTTGATCACAACTAGAATTAAGTTAGATGTGACAAGTTCGTAACATAATTTTTTTAAAGAATTAAAACTACCTGATGGGTTAGAGTAAGAAGATTCTTCAATAAAGATACAGAGATACGTACTACTTAGATTCTATTTAAAATAAAAGATGTTGTCAGTTCTAGATTCTATTTTTTTAACTTGGTACAACAGTTTTTTTTTTCAAGCATCCACTATACTTGATATCCTTTTTTTATCTTTTTCAAAAGAGGTAATTTTATATAGTGATATCAGACAGTAGTATTATATCAAGAGACACGGGTGTCTCGATGCCAACTTCACCCGCAGCGAAGTTTGCGTAGAACGGCGCCCGTAGTTCTCTCTTACGCGAGACCCCGCGATGAATTCGGTCTACATTTTCATATCTCAGCAACGACTGCATTAAGTTCTAACTATGTTTAATTGACAGCTGAATATCAAATTATATAAAAAAAGTGTTTTTATCTTTCTTTTGTCGTCTACAAACTGAGATATCACGACGCAATCGCGACGCAAAGTTCAAATTGGTAAATTTTAAGAAACATTCTAGTCGTCGCGGTGACTTTCTTTTTTCTATTGCAAGAGGCGCTAATGATCGCCTCTATATGACAGCGCTTGCAGTGTTCATTTTTTTGATATGTCTTTGACAGATGTCCTTCGTGAGAAATTGTATATATTGATTAATAAAAAAGAAGATATAATGTGTGTCACATATAATAGTAAGTAATATTGTAATATATAAAAAAAACCAATATTTTACGTAGTATTATCCGTTATTACATTGTTGAATGCCAATGTTTTATGAACATTGCAGTTCACTTCATCAGAGCGAGGAACAGCCTGATACTGTATTGCTTTTCCGGTGGAGTTCCCTTATATACACTGTAGGAGAGGAGAGTAGGAATGGAGGAAAACGGGGGAAGGAGCTAAAGATTGGCTAAAACTACGATGAAGAGAGAGGGGTGAGTGGGAGTCATTTTCGATCAAATCGGGAAAATGGTTTTCCATATGATATCTATATTGCAACCATTATTTCTATTTAAGTTGTCGTAATGTTTTTGAATTTCTATAGCCTCTCTGTACTTCCTTGGGAAATATGAGATAGTAGCTGTTATTGTTTTATCAAATAATATTTGATGTCCTTTTAATATTATGTTCTGACTGTGTGCTGTGTTTTAATCTGACATCGCATTGATGTTCTTTCATATGTACTTTGACTATTCTCCCGGTTTCCCCAATGTATACTTTGCAGCATGAATAAGATATTTTATACACACCTATTGAGCTAAGTAGGAATCTTTGGTCTTTAGGATTTCTCAAGATCCTATTTTCTTGGGGGGGTCTAAAGATAGTTCGAATTTTGTATTTCTTCAGAATCCTCCCGATACAATCGGTTGTTCTTTTTATATGGGAGGATAAAAAGGATTTTTCAGTCTATTTCGTCATGTGATACTTGTGCATCTGGCTCACTTGTTTTGTTTATATGTCTGTTTGTTTCTTTATTTATATCTTTTTTGTCGTGTCCATTCGGTTATAGAGTTAGTTTTAAGTAATTGAGTTCTGTCTACAAATGTTCTTTGTCAGAGACGGTGAGTGCTTTATGTACAAATGAGTTGATTGTTGATTGGATGTTGATTGTTGTTTTCATATTGGATGATGGTGTGATTCCGCCTGCAGATATCTATCTATGTGTATCGATTTTCTGTATACCTGATGACCTAAGGTGTTGTCAGTTTTCTTAATCATTAGAAAGGGGAATCTTCCATTTTCTTCTATTTCCATGGTGAAGCGGATATTGGAATGTTGAATATTGAGGAAATTTAGAAATTTTCGTAATTCTGCTCTACCATATCTCCAGAATACAAAAATATCGTCTATATAGCGAAACCAAATTTCAGGTTTCTTTGATACTTTGCATAGGGCTTCTTTCTCCATGAAGATGTTAGCAATTACAGAAGAAATGAGGGAACCCGCTGAAATGAGAGAATCGCTGTCTCCGAAGTTTGTTCATAGAATTGGTTGTTATAGGAGAAATATGTGTTTTTCGAACAGTGTTCGATAAGGGGAATGAGTGGAGCATACTTCATGTGAGAACTTGATTATGTCTAGCGTGTCATTAATTGGGACTTGTGTGAACTATTCTATATCAAAACTCACCAGCACTCTCCAGAAAGTAATCGGATTTTTTGGATTTTCTATACAAAATCCGTCGAGTTAATAATAAATGTGATTCAGTGTTTCCTGTGAGGAATTATAGTCTTTGGACTAAGAAACGTGAGAGGTTATATATTGGTGAATTTATGACGCTAACAATTGGTCTGAGGGGAACATTAGGTTTGTGTATCTTTAAGTAATCCGTATAGTCTTACTGGAAGGGGGTTAGTGGGTTTTATTGTCTTCTTAGTTTCGTCTGGAATATTGCTTTTTTCTATTAGGATCTTAGTATTTTGCATAATAGTCAATTGGATTTTAGTCGAGTCTTCAATATGTCTTATTAGAGAGGAGAGTTTTTATTTTCTTCTTATAGTCTGATGTATTCATGATTACTGTCGTGTTATTTTTGTCTAGTAGTAATACGATAACATCAGTGTCTTTGTTCAGTTCTTGGAGAGCGAGTTATTCTTGTCTAGTTGTTGTTGTCTAGTAATGGAGACTTGGCTTTGGAAAGGATATTGGTTACCTGCCTCCGAATACTATCTGCTTGTTCTGATGGGAGTCGATAGATGGTTAACTCTATTTGATCTCCTTTTTTGGAATCTTATTGGCTATTGCGAGATTCGGGCCTTCGATCAGCGCAGAGATATCATGTGATAGTATCATGTGAGAGATTTCTGTTGGACAAATTTTTGACAGTGTTTAGTAGAGGAAATAAGGAGTTGTTATGTGGACTTAAGTCTTTGAATTTTTATTTCTGTCGCTCCGTGGACTATGCGTGGTTCTGTGCTTGTTCATATGTAATGCGATCTAAACTCTGTCAAATGTTTTGTTATAGTATGGATGAGAGGACTATAATATATAATACATTTAAAAAATAGTCAAATCTAGTCTACCAAAATAAATAATTTTATTTTAAATTGTAAGAAAATATTGACTAAATATTGACCCAAATAAGAAGGGAGGGTGTGCGGCGGGGCCCGACCACGAACCAGTCGTGAAAACTCGTAATTATTTTGCGAAAAAATACCACCTCAGCCAGGAATCGAACCTGGATCTCCTGCTTACCGGGCAGGCATCTTATCCTTTCGACTACCGAGGCATGTGATGATATTTATCGCAAATAACGTGTTTAGAATAACACGTCAACAATACAATGATAC